CTGTCTCTGAACTTGAGGCAACTGCTTCCAACAGAAGGGAATTCCTGAAGAGAAACTCAGCTATCAGACAAATGAACTCATAATGGATCTTAGACCTAATTATAAAACCCAAACTATGAAACCCTTAGACAAAATCTTGGGAACAAATATCTGTGCCTTTGGGTAAAGATTCCTTAGATGAGATACCAAAAGCATGAACCATGAAAGTAGCCATTATTAAATTAGAATTCACCAAATTGAAAACTTCTGCTCTTCTGAAAACACTGTTAATTGAACAAAGGGAACGAGCCAAGACTGGAGAAAGAGTTGTCAGAATGACAAAATAAAAAATTCTCAATATCAAATAAGAAGCAAGCAATACAACATACAAGTGAACAAAATATTTAAGTGCCAGATAGAAAGATGATATGTAAAATGATCAACATCACTTGTTACTTAAGGAAATGCAAGTTAAAAACCACAATGAGATATAATTTCAATATCTAAAAAACAAAAATTAAAAGGGCTAACTTTACCAGTTTGGAAACAATGCACAGGCATAGAAATTTCTCATACCTCTGGTAAAGGTGCAAAAATGTCAGCAACCGCTTTGCAAAACAATTTAGCAGCTAAGCAAAATAAACCAGAGTTACATCGTCTGACTCAACTATTCCACTCCTAGGTATTTGCCCTAGACGGGGGCAAGGAATCATTTCCATACAAAGACTGGAATGCTTACCATGTGATTCGACCATTCCAGTCCTAGGAGTTCACTGAAAAGAAATGAAACCATATGTGCATACAAAGAACCAGCCATGACCATCCCTAGCATCATTTGCAAGAACCCAAACCTAGAAATAACCCGAACATCAGTCAACAGGCAAAAAGATAAACACAGATGCACATCCCACACAAAGGAATTTGAGTCCACAGTAAGAATGGACAGCTGACATACTGAAACACTAATGGACCACAAGGTAACTTTTTCTTTTCTGAGCCAAAGAGTTTGATGGAAAAGGAACTTTTTGCGCAGCTTCCTGTATATGAAGCTCAGGGAAACGCTGGGGGCGGAGTGGGGTTCGCTAGATGCAGAGTTTTAGGGGTGATAGACAGCTCTATCATCCTAATTGAGAGGATGACCTCACATGGCCAACTGTACACCAAAACGTGTGCTCCTTACATTTGTCCATTATGACTCTGGAGGAGAAACCGGAAGGGAGAAAGAAAGAAAGGAAGGAGGCAGGCAGAGCAAATGTCCTGAGCTATTACTTTTTCCTTATTAAAGTAGAAAACTTTGAAATCTAGCCCATTTTCTAGAATCCTGGCAAATCTTTCTGTTTTAATATACATAGAACTACAGGTCTGTGTTGCTCTCATTTGAAGAACGAAAGGACCTCGAAATCCCTTGAACAATGTTCCTTCAAAGTGCAGGGTCCTGTTGATACCGTGATTCGTTAATGATTTGAACTTCTGCTCATCAAAGGGAGGGATCTTCTAAAAGCCCATTGTAGAAGGTGAAATCTTGGAGGAAGTGGAAAACTGGCTGCTGCCGCGCTCAGACCAACTGCTACAGCAAGCCCAGAGCCAACAACTTGACAAGTCTTAGAGTGTCTCTTCCTGTCTTCACTCAATGCAGGTTCCTTTAGATAACTTCAGGTCATCTTGTAAACCCAACCATAGAAATTAAAAACCCCAAAGATCTTTTGTATCTTTGACACTAAACTAATAATTCTTTAATGACGTTGTCACTAAATTACAGCTGGGAAGGGAATAGCCTTGTGATAATCTTAGTGTGTCTAAGCCCACAGTCATATTCTGTCTTCTGGGTGTGCCTCTCTGTTAGTGTTCCCCACTGCCAGGGTTCTCAAGACTAACCGGAGGAGAACAACCCCAAACATTTTTAGGCCAACCCTCTGTACGATAGAATTCTTATTCCATAAACAGCTTCAAACAAGATAATTTACAGACTCCGGTGTTTTCTGTCAGGTGACAAAATGGAGCAAAGACATTTTACTTCTCTTGCTTTTCTATAACATCTTGATTCTCTAACTGGCTCAAAGGAATAGTTTGGGATACATGGTGGTCTCCTGGTAGCCTAGAAGTGAATCTGCCTCCCATTCGATTGACCTGTAATGTCCCTATCAAATGCAAACGCATTCCACTTCATCGTCCACACCTGTAAGCTCCTTGAGCCTCCCCGAATCACCATTTCTTAATAGTTAACAGCACAAAAAAGAAAATCACCAACGTAATGGTGGTGATTCTTGGACTCCATTCGTGTGCTGCTGTCGCGGTATGAGGGGGCACACCCAGCTCTAGGCCTGCACCTTAGCCCTTAATTGTTATTGCAAATGATAATTGACAGAGAGTCATTTAGATGTCTGAAACTGGGTTACAGATTCGTGGAGACTAATAAATAAAGTCCAACTTCTTATGAATTCACAGCTCACCAAAGGATGTGGAATTTAAAATCTTTGAAAGGACAGTTCCCTTAAAGCAAAGAAGAGCCACATGTCCATGTCAGTGTGACCGACAGGTAGAGTATGTGCCGATATGCCTACATGGCCAAGAGGACCTCAACCAACTGAAAAGATTTTATCCTTCATATCACCTTCTTCCCTGACCAAACTAAAATGAAAGACTTAGTAGATGCATCTGAATGCCACCCGTGTTTTTTGTGTGTTATGCTATATATGTGTTCTGAGGTATTCTGTCCTAAACTTTCCATGACTTAACAGAACTGTGCGGTAGAGGGGGCAGCAGTAACTCTACATATGCCATGGCCTCTGTAGTCTCTGAGCCCAACTTCCTCCAGTTAAAGGTGTAACCTTCTAGAGATGTAAAAAGACAGGAAGGAAAGCAGAGCTGGCTCCTCCGAGTCCTAGGCATCCCAATCATGTCAACTTTAAATTGGAAAGGGATAGATTCTGAACTCTGGGAAGCTAATTGGGAGCCCCAGGCAGAATTCTAATGTGGTCATTGTCCTTATTAGTGTGGATGCTACCAAGGAGATAGTGATGGATGTACACATTTAGAGGGAAGGCCAGTGTTCACAGACATTGGGGCCATGAAGTATTCCATTTCTCAGACTCAGAGATTGCCTTCAAACAGAAAGGCAATAAGGGAGACATTTTTGGCCATATATTCATAAATTGTTGCATTAACTAAAATTAAAATTCATTATTAGATTTCTTCTACCTAGCTGAAAAAGACAATGTAAATAGACTATATTTTTAATTAAAACCATTTAATGAGTTGAGTTGGGTTTTCACTTAAACATTTTTTCTAACAACATTCTTCCTGCTGAAAATGGTTTGTAGATTTGAGAGCTAGGCTTAGTGTGTCTAGGACTATGACACTAGAGAATAGAGGTGTGCTAATTCCATTTTTGTAAAGATACATTTACTATTATTTCATGTGTATGAGTGCAGAGTCTATATGCATGTCTGTGTACCACGTACATTCCTGGTTCCTATATAGTCCAGAAAAGAACATCAGATCTTTGGAACTGGAGTTGCAGATAGTTGTGAGCCACCATGTGGCGGCTGGAAACTGAACCAGAGTCCTCTACATGAGTAGCAAGTGCTCTTAACCACTGAGTCTTTCCTCCAGGCCCAGAGGTTTGTATTATATGAATTTAATCACTTGTGCAAAGGTGATGTTCAAGACATAGATCTCTCAAGGGAATTGTCTGTTCTAAGCCATGGTGATAGGCAGACCACAGGGAGAATCCTGAGAGTGCACACGGTAGGAAGGAGGCAGCCTCCTGATCTGCACTGCAGCGTGCTGAGCGCTGTCAGTTCAGTAGCATCCTTGTGTGTGGGGGCGTAAGACGGTGACGTAAGCCACAAAACAATCAAAATTATGAATAATAAAAGGGTTATTTACTTAAGGGGAAAACGTACAGGTCACTGCCCTCTGTGTGAAGAGGAACCGAGTCTAGCAGCCAGCAGGAGCCAGAAGCAAGAGAGAGCAGGCGCCTTTGCAGCTGCTTTTACGGTATAAGAGACCATGCCCAAGTGGGCTAGTATCTTAAAGGCTATTGGCTGAAGGAGCAGAAGGAGCTCCCTCAGCATTCGTGGAAGGTTTTCTAGGTCCTTGCCAGGCTGCTTTCATATCCCACCCATCTCACCCAAAGTTGACTACTCAAGCCATGCTATCGGTAATGCTGTGGGTGAAAGGTAAGGCCCACAGAGACGAAAGGAACTGGCTACAGTCATACAGCTTAGAGGTGAAGACTGAACCTGGATCTGTGTTTTGAATCCTAATTTTACAAACCTTTACACTACACCACCCTCTCTAACTCAGAGCTCAGATAGTTTGAGGAAGGCCTTTGAGTAGAGTCTGGAAAGTTTTAAAACTGAACCAGGAGAGGCTGAGGGAAATTTATGGAAAACTCTTATGCTTGCATAAAAATAGCGTTATTCTAACCTCCAGCCCCAAACCTCACCCAGCTTCCACTTCTCAATGACCACCTAGATTTAACCAAAGACCAGAGAGGGACATAACGGGCTTAGGGAAGAAGGGACCAGTGTTCCCAGTATATGACAGAACTGTGGAAGACCTCCGAGGCCAGAAACAGCTATTTCAATAGCTTTGAACAAGACCCAAACTGGAATAGAATGCATTTTAAACCCAAGCTTAACTAAACCAAATAATACGCTCTGTTGAGTTTATCTCATGTCTCAACTCAGGACTTCCTCATATATAAACACATGCTTGAAATAGCCCAGGACATTTAAGCTATTGTAGGGCCACATAGACAACGTGACATTAATGATGCGTTAAAATGGGAAAGGCCATACCGCATCCCTTTTAGCTGCCATCTCTCCTCCCATCTTCTTCCCCAGAAACATTCCATTCCCTTTCCTTCAGTATCCCATTTGGAAAAGACCATTCTACCATTTGTTTAAAAATATTTACTAATAAGATATGAAAACTGAACTTTATCAAGAAAACTTCAATATTAAATTAAATTACTTTTTTAACAGAAAAGAAACCAGGCAAAGTTTATTTCTTACCGATGTTCTGGTTTGTGGCCTAATATCTGACTGGCAACTTCCAAACGTCGGCCTACACACCGACCTGGATGACATGCTGAAAGAGAGTAGGAGTTTAGAATTCCAAAATCTTATTTTAGACAGCCACACACACACACACACACACACACACACACACACAGAGAGAGAGAGAGAGAGAGAGAGAGAGAGAGAGAGAGAGATCACACTGACACACTGACTAGGTCTTTACATTGTAACACATAAAATAAAAAATTTAGAGTATTTTCCCCCAAATGTTCTGGTCGTTTCAGAAGGAAGTAAAAGTAGCAGAATGTAAACTTGACTTGTAAGATAAAACAGCCTTTAAGGGCTCCCTTGAGAATAAGCAGACTGAACAGCGGTACAATCTGTTCTGGAAACCTGCAAATCTCCTATTTTGACTAAAAAAAGAAAAGGGAGGAAGGCACATTCTCCCTGTGGGAAAGCAGGCAGGGTGGTCACCCCCTCCCTTCCTCTCCTCTCTTCCTTTCTCTCATCTCCTCTCTCCTGTCCATTTGACACCAGGCTTACAAATATGTAACTTGCTTTAGCTTGAGCCTTCTTGGCGTTTTAGTTTCTACTCCATTCCTGTAACCTTCTTCAATGCAAATATTCCTTTTCCATTGCCCCCAATTCCTTTCTTCAATATTTTTTCACTAAAGCCACTCCTATCAGGTTTTTCCTAGCACTAATCCATGGTAATGTGGCATGTCACCAGAGTTGCCCCCATTGCTATCTACAGTGTGGTCCTGCGGCAATTCACCTTAAAAGCTTTTCACATGATCCCTTGCCTCTTCTTAGAAATATTTATTTCCTTTGCCTGGCTCACAAGGCATCCCTCACCCTTCGAAATCCATGTGTCTTATAGCTCTTTCCTTCCCGTCTCTGCCCAAATACCATCTTCTCCCTGAACCAGCCATGTGCATCCGATTTACAGTCAAAGCTGTCACCTCACTGCACATGACTGTCCCCTGCTGATGTCACCACTTCCTGACATTGTACATGGCTTACTTACTTATTATGTGTGTTCCATAACAATGGACCGGGTACATTCCTTAAACGTATAGGATACCATTTTCTCTTATCTTTATTATTCTGTCCTTGGCAACTTCTGCACGTGTTCATGTGCTGGGAATCAAATTTAGCGTCTTGCACGTGCTAATCAATTAATGAGCCACTGAGACTGAAAGGTTGGTTAACACAGATGGGAAGAATCAGTGGTCAGATGGGCACTTCAATAAGCTTCGGCGGTTAGCACATTCAATTGCACAGATGCCAGCAGGCGAGCCTTCCTCTAGAACGCCAGCCTACTCAGTTTCTACCTTAGGAGATAAATCTACTTTTTCCATTTTCACATTTGTGTGTTTACTGCTTACTTTTCTAACATTTCAAAGATATTATTAGCACCATTTAAAAAGGTCCACAAGCAATCAATGACTAATGAGTAAAGTTCATCCAATTTTCACTTAATGGGAGTTCCAAGAAATGCAATTGCTTCTCTTGAATGATGCGTACGCCAGTAAAGCATGGTATTTTGGGTGCTTCCTATCTGGCAGAGTGGAGAGTAACCTCTTCTTTACAGCTGTTGGGAACATCAACACGTAGCATTGCGTGAACTTAAGGATCGAGGCATTCTCACCTTTCATCTCTCCTCATCTTCGAGCAGTGTGCCTCACACAGCTGAGGGGCCTGGGAACTATATCATATGATTCCAAACTACGAGCTTCCCCCATTTCTTCTTAAGAAGATGTTTGAGTTCCCTTGTCTTGCTGAAGGTTTTTCACTTCGTTACACCACACTCAATACTCCCGTCTCCAGGAGCCTCTTGGACCCTTTGTGGTCCACAAGCAGTTTTTAGATAGCTCTCTTATAGCCCTCGTTACATTTAAGATGTATATAATTGTGTGCCTGTGTTTTCTTAATTTCTCAGTGACACCTTTATAGGGAGCAAGAACTGTGATCTATTTACTCAACAGTATGCTCAGCTTTTGTGAGCAGAACATACTCAATGGGTTTATTCGATGAGCCATGAAAACATGTACAACAAAACCCACCCTATTTTTCATAAAGCATGACTCCAGAGTACTGACTTCAAAAACAAGAGAGCCTTGGCCACCTGACAATAACATTTAAAGGTCATGAGACATAGCCTCAGAGTAACCATAGTAACTCGGCATACACACCGGAAACATGTATAATAATTAAACAAAGCTTCAGCAAGTCTATTAGCCTTGAGATAAAACAAGGTGGAATTAACAAATATATTTTTGAGTCTGTTTTCATCTTGGTGTTTTCTTGTTTCAGGATTCACAGGAAAACTGAAAAGCTTCATTAAATACGCGTGGCATGGAGTCTAGTGATATCACGCGAGGCTGGAAGTAGTTCATTTTCTCTCAATGCCTTACCGGAGCATAAATATCTCTTTCCATTTAACACAACGTGTCTGATTGCTAGGCTTTTCCTCCATGCTCTTTACATTGGAGTAGTAATTGGTGGTTACGTGATCCATGGTTTCAGCACAATTGGTTTCTCAGTACAGCAGGCGATCACCCCGTTCTTGCAGGAGGTCCTCGGAAGATGCTTCTCTGGTCCTTGGATTTGTAGGCACCCCGGGTCTCACCCTCCTTTGTTTAGAGAAGTTAGAATCAAGTTCCCATTGGGTTTGAAAAACTGCAGGAGAGGGTCTGTCTCCAGGGAATGGGAAGAGGGGAAAAGAGAATGGCAGGCAAAATCAGGAGACCAGTTCGTACCAGCTCGGAAAAGAAACTATTAAACTGAACCCACCTGAGAATAAAAGACGGCAGTAGAACACTTCCCTGTCTTCACCCCAGAAGCCCTGATGGTCCCTGCACCCCTCAGTTGGCTCTGTGTATCAGAACAAGAGCCCACCTGGCAATGAGAGCAGCGTCCTGCTCTGCCCTGGGCATCATTGTTGTTTCACACTGGGCTGTTTGTGTCACAGTTGATGACCACAGGGCACGGTGTCCACCTTGCTAATTGTCTGCACCTCAAAATATCAATTCATTAGGCGATTTCTTCAGGAAAATTCAGAGAAAATGAATGCTTGCTAAGTTTCATTGTTTCAAAGTGGAAAATAAAATGAGGAGGTACATCTTTGGAGGTTTGTAGATTATACATTGAAACAAGACATTTTACATAAAAATACAAGAATATAGTGAGTTCTCCGTACTAGTCAGGACCCTCAGGTCTAAAGTGAAAAGCAAAGCTCACTTTTCACAGTCACTAAAAGGAAGACACAGTCTAAAGCCAAACGAGGGAGAAACCAGGGCTATAGGTGCACACCCCACACAGGAAACTGCCCTTCAGGAGACAACTTCCACAAAAAAGGTACAATTATCTTGCTCAAGATTTGAAAGACAAAGCTGGACAGTGGTGGCACCCTGTCTCAAAAAAAAAAAAAAAAAAGATTTGAAAGGCAATTCTAAACAGAAGCTATTTCTGTCTTTGAAGGGGAAATGCGTACCAAGTCCATATGTAAATTTTCCAGGGATTGACTGCAGATCAATGAAAGAGGCCATCTCTATGTCTATTCCTGTGTTCAAAGGTGGTTGCTAATTTCCACTTAGGAAACAGGCTGAGAAGGAGCGCCCAGGCATATCCGTGAGCATCCTAGCTGAAGCGTGGGGTTCTCTAGGTTTCTGAAAAGAAGGCTGGCTGCTTCAGTACCCTATGGATGCGCAAGTTTTAATTCTGACAAATGTACACAAAGAATGTTTTTACTCATTTGACAAGAGCACTTATTGAAACACATCATACATCAGACCTTGCCCTGGGATCTGGGAAGACAGAATTGGCCATAGAAAAAGGTCATTCATCAGAAAAGGAAAAAAAGTTTCTTTGATGTTTTCCCCCAGACTTTAAAGAAAGGTTATCTTTGAAGTCTGGAGTGAAGGTTACTTCATCCAGAAATTTCCATGGATTATTTTTGGACAGAAGGAACTGAAGACTCACCAGCATCTCCCCGGGGTTTCAAAGTCTGGGATTACAACTTTCTTACTGTGACATCCTCCCATCTTAAGCAAAGCCCATTGGGATCCTCTGTCCATGGACAGACACCAACCAACCTCATTCCTTAGAGATGTGGAATCCCTGGCACGGCTTTGCTGCCCACTGTTGCTAGGCAACCACAATGGCTTCGGTAAGGACAGTTAACAGCCCAAAACTAAGAGGAGGAGGAAGAAGGAGGAGGAGGAGGAGAAGGAGGAGGAGGAGGAGGAGAAGGAGAAGGAGAAGGAGAAGGAGAAGGAGAAGGAGAAGAAAAGAAGAAGAAGAAGAAGAATTTTAAAAAAACAGTTACAAAGTCACTAACTTCCCTACAAACTTCTCACAAACCATCCAGGCATGAGAACAGATGAACAGTCACAGAGCCACCATTTCTGCAAACCTACCCTAAGCAGGAGAGGAGCACTGGGTTAATACTCAAAGATGTATAATGCCAAGGACATGGTTGTCACTCTGCTGTCTGACAGAGGCACACACTCAGAAACAGACTGCCTTAAGCTATGCTGGCCTGCTGGCCTTCTCTGTGCCTTCCCACAGGGAGTCCCATCTGGCTGAGGGGCATCTTCACGGTCCTTTCCTAACACTGACAGGAGCAAGTAGCACGTGCTACTACGTCCGGTCACTGTCACAGAGTATCTGCAGTTCCTGCTGTTTCTCAGAAGTTAGCAGTCACTTCCTCCCAGCCAGTTGCTGCACCTTTCCACCAAGGAGTTTGCAGCCCCCACCTTCTGCTTTGATAGATTTCACAAAAGAGCCCGGAGGTCTTGTTCCATATGTTCTGCATGCAAACTACTCACACCGCTCATACCAAAACATACTAGGCTAATAGAAGGACAGTTTTTCTAACGGTATGAATAAAGTTAAAAGGAGTTGAGCACTTGCTGGGCCCAGATAAGAAGTCAACACTGGGTGTATATGTGTGTTGAGGACATACAGCTGGTTCACAACCTTTGGGGGATCAGAAATACATCACTTTCCTCCATGTTTTGATTTTCTTCTTTTTAAAGGAACCATGTGAACTGTTTGGGTGTCTTCAATATCTAACAACCTACTGTTCCCTTCTCCCATCTCATTGAAGCCCACAGAGTGGGTTGTATTTCCATGCACTGTAGACATGGGCAGATGCCTACATGTAGGTAGTCCCTAATAGTTTATGAAAGGGAGGTCAACTCAGAGCAGCTAGTGAGAGGCACTGTGAGCATTAATTATTTATAATGCTTATTAATCTCAATGTACCTATCTCAACGATCAAAAAGAAAGACAGAAAAATGTGGCCAGTACAAAGCAAGTTTAAAAGTCCTTGACAAGAACCTGAGTTTTACGTTCTTGCTCCTCCTAAGAACACTGTATGGGAAGGCTGTGACGAGATGGTTAAGAAGCGCTCAAGTTCACTGGAGACATTTCTAGACTAACCAGGCTAATAGGATCAATCACAGCCCCTGTCATAATTAGGTTAAAATCGTGCAAATACTTCTATTTTGAAAGTCTGAACTATATTTCAAGGAAATACACATTTTCTCTAAGTCTAAAGACATAACCAACATCTATTGTCATCATTAACATTGCTTGAAGCCAAAAATCAATGTAAGCTCAGAACAGCTGTTAAAAGACACACACACACACACACACACACACACACACACACACACACATATATATATATATATATATATATATATATATATATATATTTAAAATCTTACCTTATGGCCTGTCAAATACCTATCTTGGTTTTTTAAAAAAAATATTTTCAAGTTGTGGGAGAAGAATGAGCGCATGCCATGGTCAGGAGGTCAGAGGACAACTTCAAGACTCAATTCTCTCCTTTTACCGTCACGGGCCCAGGGGATCACACTCAGGATGTCAGAGTTGGCAGCAAGCACCTTTAACCACTGGAACCCTCAAACTTGCTGGCCCTCAAATATGTATAAATATGTATCTTTTCTGACAACCATAACTGATATATGCGCACACAGGTGCTTGTGGAGTACATACGCTTCATATATGCTGCTGCCAATTAGAGTTAAGTGAGTCAGTTTTAATAGGGCCAGAAAAGACAGGTGGGAAGGAACAAAGTAATGAATGGGAAAATAGCAAGGCTGAAAAAAAAGAAAATCTTGGTGAGGTGACATTGACACTCTATTTTAGAATAGGAGGATTATAGTAGCAGTCCTTGGAGTCGGCTACATTCATGTGTCCATTCGTCTGTCATTTGTTAACTTGTTATTTACCAAATATTTACTGAAGGCCTGTGTGCTGTACGTAGTGGTACTGTGAACAAAATCAGGCCTGCCCTAGCTCTCATAGAGCTGATGACTCAGTCAGCTAACAACAACTGGCTTATTATAACATAAATAAATAAAGTAGGTTTTGGATTTCAGGTATGTTCTTCTCACTCAGCAGAGGTAGGAGTAACTATGAAAGGAGCAAACTGAAGTTATTTGAGGGGTACCTCCTGTGTAAGTACAATCCTGCAGAGAGGTCCTGTTTCTAGAGAAAGTTCTAGAGACGTTCTCCGAGTTCTCCTTGTGATATTCACGGCATGTCTAGAGATTGGAGGCTGCATTCAGGTCCGTGTATTTGTGTTTGGGGAGGATGAGGGAAGAGGGAAATATGATAGAGAAACCAGAGTGACAGCCCATAAACAGGACCAGATGAGAGCCAACACAATGGAGACGCCGCCCACTGACTAAAAGGCTAGCTGTCTGTCCCCGGTGAGAGCTGGCTCCCTTGTCAGCATTGTTTGGCCCTCTTCCCCATGAAGCTGATTGCTTGACACAGTGGGTCTAATTACCTCCAGGCTCCCATCTGTTTTCATAGAGAGGAATGTTTATCTGTGTGAGAAGAGACTTTTCTCTACCCATTTTTGTTCCTAAACTCTTTGCCTGGAGAAAACAGCAATAAACATAAAAGTCTTTATTATGGAGCAAAGATGTAAACCTTCCCTGTGTGGTTTGTTTGTGGCAGAACAGGCGAGTTCATCCACCCCTGCCCCTCCA